CCGCGGGGATGGGGGGGGGGCAGCGCTGCGGGAGCCGGGTGCGCGATGCCTGATGGCATCTATAAGGGACGCCACTCGCCCCTTACAGCTGCCATCAGGTGCCCCCCATCTGTTGGCGCTCTGGGCAGCTTCCCAGATCACCCATCCCTTAGTCCGGCCCTGGCTCCTGGGTTTGCATGTGGCCTTTGGTGAGCAGGCTGGCACCTATCCTGCCATAGACGGCCGCATTCTTCTGTCTAGTGTGGAGATCATGGACATTAGCAGCATCCCTCCCAAGTTTGAATAATGTCCATGATCTCCACCCTGGACCAGGAAGGTGCCCACCTTCTCCAGCCCCTGTCAGGCTCTTGGGAGCTGGCAGACTGCTCCTGGGGAGCGGTGGAGGGCTGGCTGCCAGTGGCTTGCTGGCTCATGTTTTGGGGCTACTGGGTCAGGGGCCCCGGTGTTCACTGCTGACTCTGGGCTGGCAGGCTTGGAGCTGGCACAGGCACTATGGCCAGAGTCTACACCTTTTATGGGGAAGGGCTGGAGGCCCCCTATGTCGAATTAAGTGTCTACACAGCACTTAATTCGAAATAGCTATTTTGAGTTTGGTGTTACTCCTCGTAGAATGAGGTTTACCAAATTCGAAATAAGGGCTCCGCTATTTCGAATTTATTTTGAAATAGCAGTTTGCCTGTGTAGATGCTATTAAAATTAATTAGAAATAACTGCTGTTATTTTGAATTATCTTTGTAGTGTAGACATACACTAAATGAATGTGGTCAGTATAGTCTTGCCAAGCCGCAACAATTGGCCTGCAAATAGATCCTTAGTTCTAGTTGTGCTACACTATTTTGTCTTATCAAATGATGGTGTTTCATTGCCTATGATTCATTTTGGATGTACAGAAATTGTAATGGTCTCACTGTTTGCCCATTGATGCTCATTGTCAGTTTCTGTATTAATAACCTACTTTATCCTCTAATTCCCTTATTAACCTTCATCCCTCAGTACTGTAACATATTGTTAATCTCTCGCTTTTTAACAGTGGCTGAGAAAACCAAAGAGCAAGTGTCTAATGTCGGGGGAGCTGTGGTGACGGGAGTGACAGCAGTAGCACACAAGACAGTGGAAGGAGCAGGCAATATTGCTGCAGCCACTGGCTTAGTCAAGAAGGATCAGATGGCTAAACAGGTTTGTTTTATTTACCAGGTTTTTTTTAAGGTGAGGAAGTGAGGTCTTTGTGGAGTCTCTGTGAATCCACCAGGGTAAGGGCCTAGGTAATGAGAATAGCTGGCTGGAGGGGTGTATGCCTGTCTCTTGATCTGGTGAGTGTATTTGTGAGGACAGCAAAGGGCTCCTGGAAGTTAGGAGCATCAATGGGAGTTGAGCATGTAGTTTCTTTCTAGTTCCTTTGAAAATATCAGCCTGTATTAGCATAGAAAACATTAATGTGTACATTAAGGATGGTCCTGAATGCCATGCCTTCTAATGGGTCAAACTAGAATGCTGGAACTGTATGTAGTGACTATCATTTTGGGCATTGAACATGTGACCTCCAAAGCTAAAAAGCATAAGCTGCTACAACTTGAGTTCAAGAGCCAACTCATATCCTCTGGACTGGGCACAGAAGGAGACGTAACATATACTCACTGGTTGATTACATTGGCATGCTCAAACTTAAAAAGTTTGCAGCAGACTGCTACCTCTCTACTTATAATAAGATGAACTCAAAGCTGCCTCTGAATTTCTTTTATCGCTGCAGGTCAGATTCCTTTCTAGCATGTTTGTAAAAATAATTCCAGTTATTTTTGTTCCAGCACATAGGCTGATCAGTTATCCTATACCATCAGTTAGCATATTTTTGTATCTGATACATTACAGTTATATTCCTATATTTGCACCAGAGAAAAAGTGTGGTTTCAGATACTAAAGTGTGGTAACTGTTGATAAATGATGACTTCTTAATGACAATCACTGTGTATATTGATCTCTTTGGACAAAAACAACCAAAAGACAGACGTAAAACAGCTCATGTTATGTTTTATGCATAAATGTATATTTTAAAGTGAAAGAAAAATAGAATATAAAGAGAAAAGCATTAGCAAAACAATGGATTTTAAATTTCAAATATTATGCTGCATTTAGACTGAATAAGTTGTTCTGTGTAATCTTCCCCCTGTATTTAATAGCAAGATAAGCTGTCAAAATTGAATTCTTTCCAGTAACTCTTTTATATCTTTACTATCTGTTTTAAGACAGACGGATATGCACTTTGGGTTTCTTTGTTGTTTTAGAAAAAGAGTTAGACTGTAAGTAGACATTTGTTGCATAGAAGTAGGTTGGTCTCAAAACATCACGTTGTTTTGTTAGTTTTTTAAAGCAATTTCCTGTTTTATTTTTAATCCTTTTCAATTCAAATGGAGAGAAAATGCCTTAATGTGTCCCAGGTGCTTTCTACAAGCTGTTCTTTAGCATTTAGAAAATTATATTCTAATGAACTCTCAGGGGATATATACAAAGAGTGAAAAGTTCTTAGAGCCTCACACCCTTATTTTCTGCTAAGGTTTGGTTGTGTCTTTTCCATGGCTTTACAGGGGAAATTTCATTTTTTTGCTGTTGCATATATAGCTGTTGCACATATAGCTAACCATAACAATAAAATTGCATCTGTAGAACCAAGGAACATATGCAGTGCATATTCATATTATTCCACAATCTTATAAATAGCATAATATAATCTAAAAGTAGTTGAGATTTTGTACTTTGAATGTGGAGAACCAATTTTTTCTATTGCTTGTACTGTCATTATTTATCCATTCTTCTTTATTTAAGTTGCAGTTCTTAAAGCCTTTTGGGGGATTGTGCTACCCACTCCATTAGTATTCAAATCTCCTAGGCACTTTTGAGGTTTATGACTTACTGTTTTTGCAGAAGAGGAACAGTTATCTAGAACATGAAAAGTTATGAAGTTCAGCCATTTAAAAACTTTTTATAACAAAGTGGGATGAGGATTTCTACTGTGTGCAATTCAAAAATGGGTGAATGGATTTTGCACCAATTTGCCAGTAAAATTCATATTTGGGTTGGGACCAAGAATGGAATATGGTGTCAGCCAAAAATGACTACTTTTCCAATAGAACATGTCAGAACACATAACATTGGAGCATACAATGGACATTATTAGATGCAGTGTGTGTCTGTCCTTCTGTCAGTCTGTTTTATGCAAGTTAAGTAGGTCCTAACCCTTGCTAGTGTCCAGTCCATAACAAGAACTTTCTATTCTTACTAATAAATTAACTATTTTAGCTCAATTGTTGGAAGTCTGGGTATGTCTACACTACAGCACTAATTCGAATTAACTTAATTCAAATTAGTTAATTCGAACTAAGCTAATTCGAACTAGTGCATCTAGACCTAAAAAGTAATTTGAATTAGCGTTTTGCTAATTCAAACTAGCATATCCACATTAAGTGGACCCTGAACCGAAGTTAAGGCTGGCCGGAACAGGGGCCGGAAGGGCATCAGGTTAGGACTTAGAGCGTGGAGCTGCTGCCTCAGGCTAGCCGAGGGCTGTGCTTAAAGGGACCCGACCCCCACCCCGGACAGACAGTTCTCAAGGTTCCGTGCTTGCCTGTCTACCTCGATGAGGGACAGCAAAGCAGTCCTGACTTGGAGTGCCCTGAGTGCCTGCACTCGGCACATCACAGCACTCGGCCATCATCCCGGCTGCACTTGCTGCAGGCTGCCATGTGGGGGGTTCATTGGGAGGCTGTCAGGGTCCAGGCGACCCTGCAGAAGAGCTTCCCCCCCAAGGAGCCTGCAGAGCCACCCCAGTGCTCCCCATTGGGGGTGCGTACCCCATTCCTCCCTCACGTCCTTCCACTTACCCCTTCCTAGCCCCCCTTCCTGATGTAAAAAATAAAGGACACGTGTGTTCAAAAATAGAAACTCTCTTTATTTAACAAAACTGGGGGGGGGGGGGAATTAACCCCTGGGGAGACTGGGAAAAGGAGGTGGGAGAGGGGAGGGGAAAGCCTGGGAGGAGGGAGCTGGAAGGGGGAAGCCAGGGCAAGAAGGAGGAGGGGAAGTATCAAACTATGGTACGCCATATCTTCAGTACTGTGTACAGATGTGGTCTCCTCACCTCAAAAGAGATGTTTTGGCCTTGGAAAGGGTTCAGAAAAGGGTAACTACAATGATTAGGGATTTGGAAGAGCTCCTAGGTTCGCATGTGGCCTTTGGTGGCCAGGCTGGCAGCTATCCTGCCTAGACGGCCGCATTCCTGTGCCTAGTGCGGAGATCGTGGACATTGGAGGCCTCCCCCCAAACCTCGATGAGGTCCACGATCTCTGCACTAGACCAGGCGGGCGCCTGCCTCTTGCGGTCCCGGGCAGGCTCCTGTGAGCCACCAGCCCGGTCCTGGGCAGAGCGTCCCAGGTGCAGGGTCTGCTGGCGGGGTGCTGGCAGGCTTGCAACTGGCACAAGCACTGTAGCCAGACCGTGCCCCTTTAAGGGCTCCGGGGCCGGGAGGAGGGCAGAAAAGTTTCCCTGGTTTGGCCCAGAGAGGCCACCAAGGCAAGCTAGGAAGGGCTAGCCTCCCACTAGTTCGAATTAAGTGGCTACACAGCCCTTAATTTGAACTACTTAATTTGAACTAGGCGTTAGTCCTCGTAGAATGAGGTTTACCTAGTTCGAATTAAGCACTCCGCTAGTTCGAATTAAGTTCGAACTAGCGGTTTGTATGTGTAGCGCCTATGAAAGTTAATTTGAACTAACGGCTGTTAGTTCAAATTAACTTTGTAGTGTAGACATACCCTCTGTGCCTTTCTATCCCGAGTTTCTCTTCTCATGGATGGCTGATAATCATGGTTGTTACAAAACAAATAATCTAATAGCCTTCTGTGGAACTGGACTGAAATGGGGTTTCTTTGTACACTGGAATCCAGGATATTTGCTAGTGTTGTGTCACCTTTTGAATTTACTCCAACTTTGTAAGAAATCATGTCTTCCAGTTCATGTTGCTTGCTAAGCACTTACACCTGGATTCTGCAGTTGACAGCACGTGAGCAAACTGATATAGGCTGGGTGGCACACTCAGTAGGCATGGCACTCTGCTTGCACACTTTCAGTTGCAGGATCAGGATCTGTAAGATGCATGGAATCAGTTCTATAAATACCTGGCTACAAATCCGTCTAAACAGATAGACACTAATATCTATTTAGTGTGACTTCTCTTGGAGATTAGGTATGATGTAAAATCGCAGAGCTCTGTTATCAGGTGTGCTGTGTTGTTATCAGGGATGGTGTTCCTGATGGCCTGTAATCTATTTTTGTGTGGAATGTTGGTGTATAGAGCTTCTACATCCATGGTAGCCAGAATGGTATTTTCAGGGGGTATGTCTACACTACCCCGCTAGTTCGAACTAGCGGGGTAGTGTAGACATACCCCCTGAAAATACCATTCTGGCTACCATGGATGTAGAAGCTCTATACACCAACATTCCACACAAAAATAGATTACAGGCCATCAGGAACACCATCCCTGATAACAACACAGCACACCTGATAACAGAGCTCTGCGATTTTACATCATACCTAATCTCCAAGAGAAGTCACACTAAATAGATATTAGTGTCTATCTGTTTAGACGGATTTGTAGCCAGGTATTTATAGAACTGATTCCATGCATCTTACAGATCCTGATCCTGCAACTGAAAGTGTGCAAGCAGAGTGCCATGCCTACTGAGTGTGCCACCCAGCCTATATCAGTTTGCTCACGTGCTGTCAACTGCAGAATCCAGGTGTAAGTGCTTAGCAAGCAACATGAACTGGAAGACATGATTTCTTACAAAGTTGGAGTAAATTCAAAAGGTGACACAACACTAGCAAATATCCTGGATTCCAGTGTACAAAGAAACCCCATTTCAGTCCAGTTCCACAGAAGGCTATTAGATTATTTGTTTTGTAACAACCATGATTATCAGCCATCCATGAGAAGAGAAACTCGGGATAGAAAGGCACAGAGGGTATGTCTACACTACAAAGTTAATTTGAACTAACAGCCGTTAGTTCAAATTAACTTTCATAGGCGCTACACATACAAACCGCTAGTTCGAACTTAATTCGAACTAGCGGAGTGCTTAATTCGAACTAGGTAAACCTCATTCTACGAGGACTAACGCCTAGTTCAA